AGTTTTTTTCTCAAAACAATGATTAGTGATATGCTATTATATATAAATTATCTTCGTATATGTATATATTTATAAAGAAATAAAGCTGAAACTGTTCGAATCAATTAAATGAAAGAAAATTTTATACATATTTTATATTCAATGTTGATATCAAATTATTGATTTGTATTAAAGTATAAAACGACCTCGCTTTGAAAGAAAATGAGCAATTTACCAATTTTATGTAAATAATCTACTTGATATACTTTCAATCATAAACAATATTTGAATAGTTTGCCCAAGAGAATGAACTTGTATGTACTTCAATTGTTTTACAAGAATTTCAATTTCAACTACTTCTTTGAAGTCTATTTTAAAATAAATACCAAACAACTGACCTTCATACGTTAATTAAATCATGTCGATATTATAAGAGAATCACTCTTTTAATCTGTCTTGTTTCATATCAAGCAATCCTTACACCTCACACCAGTAACCTACCTTCTGTCGGTTTGATTAATTTCCGAAATTTCAACAAGTTCATTAACATATCATTTACTAATGAAGTCATCATTCGCAAGTCAATACAAAATAAATACGAAGTCGAAACCCCCGAGTTTAAACTTAAATTGTAAAACTGACTAAATTTTAATTGTGATTAATTTAAAAAAAAAAACAAAAAACAAAATTATATACAATCGTGTATTATTGTATACATAATTTTGAATTAAATGCACAAAAAAATTTTTTTTCATTGTTATATTTTGAAACAAAAAATAAACTTTTTTGGAACTTTAGTAATGGATTTTTAACATTATTGACTGCAGTTCAATGTACATAAATGCGATTTGTTTTCGATTGTTTATTTTGAGATGAAAAATGCCAAAGAAATTTATAAATATTTTTTTAAAAAGTTTGATTGATTGTAAAAGCGTTGGATAGAAGATACATTTTATATGGCAGATATCGAGCTGCACTACGCATATTGTTCTTCAATTATTAAAGCAAAAGAAGTAATTTTTTTATGACGAGCAACGATATATTGAAAAAAAACATGTTAAATTTATAATTACAGTTCATAACCTTCAGATTTTTAGGCACGTACCAAAACAACGCATGCAGCATATAAATCAAGATACAAAACAGCACTCGTGCAGATACGAGTAGTACATTGTATCTCAATTGAAGTATAAAATTTAACTCTTCATGTACCAAAGGCAGTTAAAAGATTTTTATTTGTTTTCTGTGTTGCAACAGTTGCAACTGTCAATTGATTGCCAACACCTACGCTTAATGAATGAAGTGGCAACCCATAAATAGTGGGACATATGAACTCAAGCATAATTAGATTGTAAGACTATTAATATTTTTCAGAAGAATCATTTTTAATTTTATTTTTATTTTCAATATTATATTTGATATTTTGTTTATTGTTGGTACTTGAAATGTTGCAACTAAATTCTGCTACTGTTGTAATTACAGGGAGAGAAAAGATACAATTGCTGTTAAGATACTTAAAACTGCAGCACCGCTATTTGGCATTAAAATCTACAAACTTTTGAGTAATTACCACTTCTCTTGCATAAATTAATCAGTTGGCATGAGTGGGTGTAGATTGCGTTACTTGCAATAAACGACATACATATATTCACGTCAAAAATAGAAGAACTTTTGTTTTCAAAATAATCTTTACTACATCCAAAATATATATTGTCTATATCAATATAAAAACTGTTGAGGAATATTGTCGTGATTCTTCACAGAAAACTATAAGGAACAGAATAATTTCGCAAGCCTTGACAAAAAAATTATTACGAAATAAAGATAGTGACATGTTTTTAATCCATTAGTATATTTGACACAGAAAAAAACTAAAACTTTTTTAAGTCAAAGATATTATAGTATAAGACGAGCTAGCCAGACGTGGTGCTTCTGGGAACCACTTGAAACACCTAAACAATCTGAGCATATCGTTGACATCATGCAAATTGATTTTGAGTTCTTCCTGTGCCGAACTTTTTAACAAAAGATAGGAAGACTCTGCGATATGCAGGCATCTGTATGCAATGTGGCCACAGACCAACAATAGAAAATCGAAAGCTCTCTTAGAGATGTCCTGTAGAGATATCAGTCTTCTAGTAGGTTTACTAACAGGTCATTGTATTCTAGGTAATCATGCTAGGAGACTGAATCTACCGTTCAACCATTTTTACCGCAGTTGTGGTGAGGTGACACGAACTCTGGCTGTCATTGGAATGTGTTTTGTAATATAATACGAGGGCGGTTTGATAAGTCAGTGACTTTTTGAATTTCCCGCGCAGTTACTCCAAATGCAACAGTGCTGCCGTCAGCTGTAATCTACCAGTGGGCAACTTTCTAATTTTGAGGAAGCTACGTCGTTCAGGTGGTGTTTGATAGCCGTTCAAAGCAGACAACATCGTGAATTTTTACGAAAATAGAAAAATGTGAATTTCGTGTGCGAAAATCCACGAATTGGGATACGAACTGCTACCCCATTCAGCATATTCTCCAGATTTAGCCCTCTGCGACTATTTTCTGTTTCCAAACATAAAGAAATGGCTGGGCGGTACGAGATTTGCGTCGAATGAAGAATTCATTACCGAAACAAACGCGTATTTTGAGAGCTAAAAGGTGATTATGTAGAAAAATAAAATGATTATTTGCCGAAAAAAAATTGTTTTATTCAAAATGTCACTGACTTATCAAACCGCCCCCGTAGAATGTAATGTAATAAAATGTGATGTATCATAATGTAATGTAATGTAATATTATGTAATAATATATATAATGTAATGTAATGTAATATAATGCAATGTAATATAATGTGATGTAATATAATGTAATGTAATGTTATTATGATTATTTAATGTAATGTAATATAGTTTATGTAAAATAGTTTTAACATATATATAAACAAAGGAAAGGACATATCAACTACTTTATATAAAATAACTACTAAAATTTAAATTTTTTTGCTCTTTCTAAAACATTTCTGATTTGCTGTGTATAGCTCTAGAATATATTCTCTGAAATATGAAAGAGATTATGATGCAAGGATTCTTCAAATTTTTTTAAAAGTCTTTAATTCTAGTAAAAATCTATTATTTATTTAAATTTTAATAATAAAATATTTAAATAATTTAATAATTTTATTATTTAATAATAACGAATATTATGAAGATTTCATGTTACATAATTTATTGTATATTTTAAAAATATTTTACAATTTAAAAAAGTTAGTGGTGGGGGAAAAATTAAAGTATACCAAAAAGTTATATAAATGGAGTGAATAAAAGAGGAAACTATACAAAACAGCAAATATCATCTTTGAGATGGACGTGATTACATTTTATTAATTCTCAAATATTCGACATTATTAAAATACTAGGAAAAAATTGATGCTTTAAAAAATGCTTTGATGTATATATATTTCTTTTTTCTATACATATATTTGCTTTTAAGCGGTTAAAAGGAAAATTTGATTTAATTCCGAAGTCGTTCTGACAGAGTAATACTACACATAAAAGAAAGTCATAGTTACACTAAGAGTTACGTTAAGGGCTCATAATATGGTCCTAAAGTGACCCTAATATGACCCTAAATTAATATAATTATTTAATCTGGTATGACACTTTTATTGAAGTTTGTATTAATGGACCAAATATTTTCTCGTAATCAACAAACATGAGGTTTAGTGAGTAGAACACGTCACCAAGAAAAGAACGGTGATATCACAGATGCAGTAAGTAAAGGAGGAACTTATTAGTTTTTATTTGTTACTCTAAAAAGTTGTATATATGTGTATTTTTATTATATTTTCTTTAAAATTTTTAAAAATTTGTCATCGGACCTGTGACAGATGATGCAAAAATGCTAGTTGTCATTTTTTCCTCTTTTCAAAGTGAAAAGAAAGTTACTTATTCTCCCTTTATTGAATTTTTTCGAGTAGGTTTTCATTTTAATTAGTATTAGAAGCAGTAGATGTATTTACATAAATACATAAATATATAGGTATATTGAAATATGTTCACAAAAATAGCATACCTGCTTAATATAATTTTATTTAATTATCACAAATGTTCCATAAATAAATTTTAAAATGTATTATACGAGTATTTTAATAGCCAAATATCCCATAATACATAATTTAATTTTATTTAAATCACAATTTATAATTAATAGTTTTCACTTTATTATGCATCTTCATAATTTATTGTATTTTTGTAGTCATACTTATTTTTTATTAAAAAACTATGCACACTAATTTTGATATCGCGAAAGAAAATTTTGAATTTACTATGTCCTCTTCTTCGCGTTTGATCGTTACAAAAAAAAAAAACCAGCTGTCAGGTCACATAATGCATTCTCTTCTGTTGGCTGCATTGTTCTCAGTATTTGGAACTGTGATTTGAAGTTTATTGTTTTTATTTTTCGTGCATTTTGATTTCCGCCATTTTTTATTTGAAATTTTTTGAAGACTATTTCTTTGTGCAATTTTTGTAAAATGTTCGTTTTAATAATAATGTTTAATGCAAAACTTTTATATCCGTACTATATTAAAGAATGTATGTACATAAATATAGTGTGTGTTATGTATTGTTCTTATATAAATATGTATATATTTATAAATATCCACGCTTATCGTAAGTTCAGACTAAAATAAATTTAGCGCTTTAAAATGAGTATTATAGAATTGAGAAAATATATATATTTTTTTTTCAGTTAATAAGTATAACATTGTTTATTTAACTTCAAATACCAA